TACAAAAATCAAAACGACGGTGGGGGTCGGTGACGCGGTGGGCAAGTGACGTAACCGGTGTTGCGGCTTAACCGGTATCACAGTCAGCACCGTCTATCGCGGCAAGCCTACCGCATAGCCGCTCTTTAGTGTAGATGCATGTTGATTTTATCAGACGATGCCGCGATTATAAATGAGAGTGACTCCTGGTTAACATGTATTAAAAGGGGTCGTGTTTAGTCACTATTTAGTGTGGTATTTTTTGACAATATTCACTCATCATGACAGTAAAATAGGGCATTATAAGTCAATATACTGCAGTATTTCCTCTCTCAATCAGTACAAAATATGGTTAACACCCGGCCATGCATGAAAAAAAATACCGTCATGTACCGTGAAACCGGTATAATTTAGAAAAATACCGTGATATAAATTTTTGGTCATACCGCCCAGCACTATTTTGAATCTTTCTTATTAGTTGAACTACAGAATTTGTAATTCCCAGTTTGCCCATATTTTCACGATTGTGATTATTGTTTTTATCTCTTTTCAGTTCTTTTGTCCATATGTTCTTTGCTTTGTGATCCGAATCCTGATGACCCCTTAGTCCCAGACATAGCACACATCTACAAATCAGATAAAGAAAAGTAAGTATTATATTATGTTATTAAAAATATATTACATAAAAAAAAAAAAAAAATCCTAATTAATTTATTCCCCTCATGTTGTTCCAAACCCATATGATTTTCTTGGACAGAGCACAAATCAAGACAATTTGAACACTGTGCTGGTTGCTCTTCCGCACTCAATTACAGTCAAGGAAAACAAGCATCAAAGGGACACAAAAGCACCATAAAACTATCGTAAAGCACTCAAGTCAAGTGCTGCATATTTGTGTGCTATATTTCAAGTCTCCTGAAGTCATACATTAGCTTTGTGTGTAAAAGACCAAAATTTATGCAGTTATTCACTGATAATATTCTCCTCCAGTGTGTTCGGATCATTGGGTGCTTCTTATTAAATTGTGCATCCTCGTTTCGTTTCCATGCATCCAAGCTCCTGCCAATTAGGATGTGAGGAAAGGATGCAAGGAATGAAAATGAGGATGGAGGAAATGAAAGTACTTAGTATACTGGAATATTCTTGAACACTTAATCATCACTTTAAACTAAAGCATCGCCAACTGCGCTCAATAAATCCCTTGTGTTGTTGAGGTTAAGTTATTAAAGAAATTCATAAGAAATATTTATAAAGCAAAAAGCCTAAATGTATGCATTTATATATATTATTAATAATTGTATTACCATTATTATTATTATTAATAGTTAATAATAGTTGATCATTATTATGATTGTATTGTTAATCATGTATTATGTATTTGAATTGCATATAAAATTTGAATACAGTTTTAACATAAACCTAATGTGATGCATATTTGTCAGTCATACATAAATTAAATGGGTAAGAATCTGCACTCAAAAAAATCATCATAGCAATTTTCCCTCAATTTTTTTTTCTGGCTAAGCAAAACTTTTCTCTATTGGGCAGACATTTTGGCCACCTGAGCAAAAACATTCTTAATACTAGACCTGTACAGCACACACACAAAAAAGTGTGTAACTTTTAACTTAACTTAAATGTGCTATTTGATTTGACCCTTGATGTAACTAAATGATGCACATTTTAGGATACCTGAGAAAACTTTTTTTATTTTTTTTTACAGTGCTGTTACCACGAAATTCTATTAAAAATCTTTTTTTTTTTTTTCTCATGCAGAACAGTTTGATTCTTTATAATAATATTATATATTATAATATAATATGAACAAAATAAGCAGATATTGCTCACGAATTCCCTTTTTGAGGTCAATTATTTATTAGGTTTATAATATAATGTAATTATAATATGATGTAAAAACAAACTGAAGCAAACTATTAGAACAGAATAGAAAACAAACTGAATCATTTAGACTGGGATCTGTAAGCTAAAAAAATTTCAAAAAACGTCAACATAGATAACTTTTAGTTATCTAAAACATCCCATGCAGTAGAGTTTGCACACTACTGTACTACACCTTTGTGTGACTGTAAATGTTTCAGAGTTTTGTTACCGTTCTGTGCCCATCATCCTCTATTTCCAGCACTTAATCAAGCCACTCTTCTTTAACACATGATGATGTTTTATTTCACATGTCATTATGTTTGCGTTGGCTCTCGTGTTGAGCTATTTCATTCGCAGCCATTAAAGTATTCGATGTCTACAGCGACTGATTTGGCGCACATCATTCTCTTTCTATGAAACCTGTAAACCGCATTAACCAGTTCTAAATCTTTAGCAACACCAACTCTATAGCGGTTTGCCCGAGCATTGCGTTTATTTTGTAGTTACTAGACTTCAATCAAATGGCTTTCCCAACTCATTGTTGCGTTTGTCCTGTGCGCGGCATATTATTTCTTCTGCGCGGTCACGACACGATCATAGGCCTATATTTTATTGACCGTTTTTCATTTATTTAAATAATAAAACCATATTTTCAAAATGCATTGATGCATATTGCTTATATTCAACATAAATCTGTTCACAAATTTAAAACAAATTTATTCAGTTGAAAAGAATGAACATGGTTAAAATATAGCTAGCTGTGAAACAACCGATATTCAATTAGTTAAATAAATAAGATTGAAACAAATTGGAGTTATTAGTGATAAATATATAAGCTTGATTACGGTGTATTTAAAACATGTTCGGTTCATTATTACTATTACAGAAATCTGACCCGTTTCTTATCTGTTTTATGTACCGTATGACTGACAAATATGCATTACTTCACATTTATTTGTTTTAAAACTGTGTAATTCAAATGGATGGAAATTTGATGTGCAATTCAAATACATATACTTTGCCCTACATATTATTTGAGTGTATGTGAAATGTAAAGATTGTTTAAAGTGCAGTGGTAAAACTGATGGTGACTGATGTGAAGGGGTGGAGAGTTTATATGAGTGTCAGGGTTTTCATCAAGAAACACTTCCGCATAGAATACAGCTGTGTATCCTTCCTCACTCCTCGTTCCTTGCCTACTCCTGGTGCAATTAGAGAATTAACATATCCTTCAAGATGGCTGACTTAGATCGATTTTCAGGTCATGGGCTGGAGGATGGAAGAGGGAAGAAACGAGGAAGCACCTGTTTGAGAATTAAGTCGTTTGAAGGGCTATCTGGCCCTTACCCTAGCCCTACCCCTCCAACCAAAAGAGAATCGAGACACCCCTACCCCTTCACGGGGAAAGGGGGAGGGCTAAGGGGTAGAATTGGGATTGGGCCTACGTCTCGAGACCAGGATCAGTCCAATTCATGAATGAATTCAGACCTGTTTTTTGAACTAGATTAATTGAAAAGATCCAATGCAAAGTACGATTCTTTTACAACTTGGATGTCGCTACTACACTAGCTAAATGCGTGAAGCAGTGAAAGTGCAGATATCAATAATTTTATTGAACAATTGTTCACATTTTTTTTCTCTATTCCTACAGAAAGCTGTCATATGACTTCACAGGACTTTAATTTATTGCAGACTACAGTATTTTTACTTGGCTACAGTATTTTCACTTTCATTATATTGACAAGAGTCACCAGGTTATTCTTCAGGAATTTACCTTTTGTGTACCATCAAACAGGTTTGGAACATCACGAGTGTGAGTAACATGGACCATACGAAGTTGACTGTTTATGAACTTAATTTATTGATTTTTTTTTTGTACCAGGTACAACAGACTAGCAAGAGAATGGACCCAGAAGTATGCAATGTGAAGACTTAATGGACAATTTTTTTAAGTCACAAATCACTGTAAATTCTAGCATCTAAAAGTAAGATTAGGTTATATTATTAAACACATTGTACTGTTAACATTTACCATCTGAAATGACCAATAATAATAGCTGAACTAGTATTTTGAAGGGGACTGTGCGCGGCACAAAATGATATTAAGCTTTTTATTGGTTTTGTGCATTTTGGTCATTCTCTGCAGTGGTGTTGGGCACTTTGTTTTCTTGTTTCATAAATCCTATTTAAGATTGGCATGATGTTATACAACTACAGTTACCCTACAAGAGGGCAATTAAGAAATTGAAAACAGTTTTATTGTATCTCATTCAGTTGATTACATTTTCTTTTAGATATTTTTATTGTATAGTTAAGAGCAACTATACTGGATCTATTTTTTTCTTTTGCATTAAAATTTGTTTAAAAGCGTGCATCTGTGTTTCTGATATGTTCATTTGCTCATATTTGTACAGCGTAGTGTTTTTATTTGGCTTTGTTGAAATGCTATTTGAGCTGGCTTTGAGTATAAGTTGCCATCAGTTCAACAAAAAGCCTTGATTTCCACGAGATCGATGCAGTGTTGCAATATTCAGTGTCTTATTTCAAAATTATTTCTGCATATTATGTATCCATCTGAAACACAATGTTGCTTCATTATTCATTCTTAATCATATTTTAATGTATTCTGTTGCTTTTCTGTCCACTAGGACCTAAACAGTAAACAACGGACTTAATTAGAGGCTAATTTATATATCCCCTGAAGTAATGTGTGGCTATAAATTTGGTTGCTGTTTATAAACAAGTCCTGGTATAGCCATAACTACAACGATATTCCCAGTAGGATTACACAAATTATGCCTGAGGGATTTTCTTAATTGCTCAGTACTCTGAGAACACAAATCATTATGTCAAATATTTTCCATTTCGATGTTTGTTTACTAGTTCGTTTTTTATCAGCGTTCTCATTAGTCACAATATCTGAACGTTCAGCCACATAAACAGACTTTTATCGTATCTGAAGATTACACGTTTTTCTACCCGGAAGTATTTACAATTAAGGCGAGCCTGCTATCCTCCGGTATTAGAAATATTTTCAGTGTTAGAGTTCATGTTTTTGCTCCTAATATGTTTTCATATTCGCGAAATGATACCCTATGTAGACGTTTAACGGTGCGTCGTGACATCACACGCAGCGCGTCTCTCAGGAGTGTGTGTGTGTGTGTGTGCGCGCGTGTGCGTGTGCGGGGCAGAAACAAACAGCGAAGCGTTCGCAGAGCCGCGAGTTCCCGTGCGATATGACTAACTCCGCCAGAATATCGTGTCGATCTTTGTATTCCGCTCGTTCCGTATCTAGCATCTCGTACCAATTACCGCGGGAGGAGTGTAAACATCTCTGAAATCAGGAAGTGGGATGTGGCCCAGGTGAAAAGCTCGTTATATGGTCGCGAGCGTGGGCACCGTGACTGATGGCACGCGAGCGGTCACACACATCAGGATGACGCGTCGAGAGTGTGCGATCAATATGTGAATTTGTGTGTGGACAGTAGTTTAGAGAAATACAGCGCCCATTGCAGTGAAGTCTTCGGTGCGAGTGTCAGCTCAGCATCATTATGGACTCGTCTGTGGCGCTGGGGAGGCTGGAGCTCGCGCGTCCGGTAACGACCCGCGGCTCGTGTTTACCGGAGGGTGCGCAGGGCGCTCACCTGAACGGCTGCGTGCCGCTCTCTCATCAGGTGGCCGGACACAAGTATGGCGTGGATAAAGTGGGTCAGTACACATTTGATATCATCCCTTTTCTTTTGAACCATGATTCTGTCATTTAAAATTGTGTGCGGGACTAGTTGTCAATATTATTACCCCAATAAACATTTCTCAGGGTCGGTTTATGTACAGTAATAATAATGCTGTCTAATAATTGATGCATTTAGCAGACGCTTTTATAGTAAATATTATCGTTATTACTTAACAAGATGCAGTTGTTATTTTGTCATATGCTTTTTAGTAAAAATTAAATTATGGAGCACAAAACTATTAATGAAAAAGAAAAAAATGTATACTATACCATTTAAAAATAATGTCAAATGAACAATATTAATATTACATTATACACCAAACAACCTTTCATATGTTTTTCAGTAAAATTTAAATAGTAAAACAATTATGAAGCTCAAAATTATTAATGAAAATAAAAAAAATGTATTTAAAAATATTATTAGTGATAGATATATAAGCTTGATTACGGTGGAATCTAATATTATTTAAAAATAAAGTAAAATTAAAAATCGTACTGCTACTTTATACATTAAAACAGTTCAATGTATGATGTAAAATTTAAAATATCAAACTCTTGTTTTGGCCAACAAATATTGTAATTGCACAATTTTATAAAAATTCCCACATATAAAAATCTGGATATCTTGTATTGTGTCTGTATAGTGCTGCTGACTCGATTTGGATTTGTCTCATGACTTGCAAAAAAACAGCTCTACATGTGAGACCCATGTAGTGAGTCTGTGGCTGAGATAATTCATACCCCTTCGTTTGAAGTGTGGTCCCGAAAAATCTTCGTTTGAAGGGCTATCTGGCCCTTACCCTAGCCCTACCCCTCCAACCAAAAGAGAATCGAGACACCCCTACCCCTTCACGGGGAAAGGGGGAGGGCTAAGGGGTAGAATTGGGATTGGGCCTACGTCTCGAGACCAGGATCAGTCCAATTCATGAATGAATTCAGACCTGTTTTTTGAACTAGATTAATTGAAAAGATCCAATGCAAAGTACGATTCTTTTACAACTTGGATGTCGCTACTACACTAGCTAAATGCGTGAAGCAGTGAAAGTGCAGATATCAATAATTTTATTGAACAATTGTTCACATTTTTTTTCTCTATTCCTACAGAAAGCTGTCATATGACTTCACAGGACTTTAATTTATTGCAGACTACAGTATTTTTACTTGGCTACAGTATTTTCACTTTCATTATATTGACAAGAGTCACCAGGTTATTCTTCAGGAATTTACCTTTTGTGTACCATCAAACAGGTTTGGAACATCACGAGTGTGAGTAACATGGACCATACGAAGTTGACTGTTTATGAACTTAATTTATTGATTTTTTTTTTGTACCAGGTACAACAGACTAGCAAGAGAATGGACCCAGAAGTATGCAATGTGAAGACTTAATGGACAATTTTTTTAAGTCACAAATCACTGTAAATTCTAGCATCTAAAAGTAAGATTAGGTTATATTATTAAACACATTGTACTGTTAACATTTACCATCTGAAATGACCAATAATAATAGCTGAACTAGTATTTTGAAGGGGACTGTGCGCGGCACAAAATGATATTAAGCTTTTTATTGGTTTTGTGCATTTTGGTCATTCTCTGCAGTGGTGTTGGGCACTTTGTTTTCTTGTTTCATAAATCCTATTTAAGATTGGCATGATGTTATACAACTACAGTTACCCTACAAGAGGGCAATTAAGAAATTGAAAACAGTTTTATTGTATCTCATTTTACATTTTACATTTTCTTTTAGATATTTTTATTGTATAGTTAAGAGCAACTATACTGGATCTATTTTTGCATTAAAATTTTTGCATTAAAATTTGTTTAAAAGCGTGCATCTGTGTTTCTGATATGTTCATTTGCTCATATTTGTACAGCGTAGTGTTTTTATTTGGCTTTGTTGAAATGCTATTTGAGCTGGCTTTGAGTATAAGTTGCCATCAGTTCAACAAAAAGCCTTGATTTCCACTAGATCGATGCAGTGTTGCAATATTCAGTGTCTTATTTCAAAATTATTTTTGCATATTATGTATCCATCTGAAACACAGTGTTGCTTCATTATTCATTCTTAATCATATTTTAATGTATTCTGTTGCTTTTCTGTCCACTAGGACCTAAACAGTAAACAAAGGACTTAATTAGAGGCTAATTTATATATCCCCTGAAGTAATGTGTGGCTATAAATTTGGTTGCTGTTTATAAACAAGTCCTGGTATAGCCATAACTACAACGATATTCCCAGTAGGATTACACAAATTATGCCTGAGGGATTTTCTTAATTGCTCAGTACTCTGAGAACACAAATCATTATGTCAAATATTTTCCATTTCGATGTTTGTTTACTAGTTCGTTTTTTATCAGCGTTCTCATTAGTCACAATATCTGAACGTTCAGCCACATAAACAGACTTTTATCGTATCTGAAGATTACACGTTTTTCTACCCGGAAGTATTTACAATTAAGGCGAGCCTGCTATCCTCCGGTATTAGAAATATTTTCAGTGTTAGAGTTCATGTTTTTGCTCCTAATATGTTTTCATATTCGCGAAATGATACCCTATGTAGACGTTTAACGGTGCGTCGTGACATCACACGCAGCGCGTCTCTCAGGAGTGTGTGTGTGTGTGTGTGCGCGCGTGTGCGTGTGCGGGGCAGAAACAAACAGCGAAGCGTTCGCAGAGCCGCGAGTTCCCGTGCGATATGACTAACTCCGCCAGAATATCGTGTCGATCTTTGTATTCCGCTCGTTCCGTATCTAGCATCTCGTACCAATTACCGCGGGAGGAGTGTAAACATCTCTGAAATCAGGAAGTGGGATGTGGCCCAGGTGAAAAGCTCGTTATATGGTCGCGAGCGTGGGCACCGTGACTGATGGCACGCGAGCGGTCACACACATCAGGATGACGCGTCGAGAGTGTGCGATCAATATGTGAATTTGTGTGTGGACAGTAGTTTAGAGAAATACAGCGCCCATTGCAGTGAAGTCTTCGGTGCGAGTGTCAGCTCAGCATCATTATGGACTCGTCTGTGGCGCTGGGGAGGCTGGAGCTCGCGCGTCCGGTAACGACCCGCGGCTCGTGTTTACCGGAGGGTGCGCAGGGCGCTCACCTGAACGGCTGCGTGCCGCTCTCTCATCAGGTGGCCGGACACAAGTATGGCGTGGATAAAGTGGGTCAGTACACATTTGATATCATCCCTTTTCTTTTGAACCATGATTCTGTCATTTAAAATTGTGTGCGGGACTAGTTGTCAATATTATTACCCCAATAAACATTTCTCAGGGTCGGTTTATGTACAGTAATAATAATGCTGTCTAATAATTGATGCATTTAGCAGACGCTTTTATAGTAAATATTATCGTTATTACTTAACAAGATGCAGTTGTTATTTTGTCATATGCTTTTTAGTAAAAATTAAATTATGGAGCACAAAACTATTAATGAAAAAGAAAAAAATGTATACTATACCATTTAAAAATAATGTCAAATGAACAATATTAATATTACATTATACACCAAACAACCTTTCATATGTTTTTCAGTAAAATTTAAATAGTAAAACAATTATGAAGCTCAAAATTATTAATGAAAATAAAAAAAATGTATTTAAAAATATTATTAGTGATAGATATATAAGCTTGATTACGGTGGAATCTAATATTATTTAAAAATAAAGTAAAATTAAAAATCGTACTGCTACTTTATACATTAAAACAGTTCAATGTATGATGTAAAATTTAAAATATCAAACTCTTGTTTTGGCCAACAAATATTGTAATTGCACAATTTTATAAAAATTCCCACATATAAAAATCTGGATATCTTGTATTGTGTCTGTATAGTGCTGCTGACTCGATTTGGATTTGTCTCATGACTTGCAAAAAAACAGCTCTACATGTGAGACCCATGTAGTGAGTCTGTGGTAATGCAAATTTAAACCGAATTTGACCAATGCGGTAAAACAGCATAGATTTTACTTGCATTTGCGTCTACAGTTGTTCTTTATTACTACAACATACTTTTTGGGTGAACCTCACAGAGCCTGTCAAACATTTGTTCGGGCCACACAAAATGTTATTTTGCATATTAAAGAGTCTTTAAAAGTCTATTTTTAGAACTCTCAAATTTAATTTACTTTTTTTGCATTGTTGCAGTATTTTAATGAAAATTAAGCATATTACCATAACTTCATTAAAAAAAAACTTTTTTGTACATCGTTCACATTAGTGTTTGTTACAATTTATGCTTATTTCTATAAAGTGTGGACTGAATTATTTCTATTACTGTATTTGTATTCCATGGTTTAATTTGATCCTCATAAACACTTTCTCATAATAAATGTGCACAGTTTTAAAATTTTTTTAATGAGCATAATCATTCAAGATAATAAAATAACAAACAAACTGAAAAGTAAACTATCCAGATGTGTTACAGTAATGAAAATAAGAGGGAAGTGTAAATGTATACATTATGTACTGTGTCACTGGAAGAATTGCTTCAGGTAAAATAGATGTATGGTATGCATTTAAATAAAGGCTTTATAGAGTGTGTGGTTGCAAATTCCCCCTGGTTGATCACGTTTGTTGTCATAAATTCACGCTTGTCGCGTTTGCTTTTGTCTATCAATGATGTGTATAGCTTTTAAAATAGCTATTTTTAAAGAGGGGGAACCTGACCTAAATCCAGAGCTTTACAGTCTATGACCGCGTAATCTCTTAAGCCCTGTCAACCCAGTTCTCAGCAGCATATAGGCCAGCCTGTGATGTCATACACACACTGCTGTGATCTCCCCTCATATCAGCTTCAAAAGGGCCTATTCACAGTCCTTCACTTAAACAACTCAATGGATATGAGCTTTCACTCAACTGTATGAATCAATGTGTTTAACAAAAATGTTAGCATGTGCTTATTCGTTTGGTCAATGGTAATGATTCTGAGCTGTTTTTTTTTTTAATAACAGGCATCTTGCAGCATCCTGATGGTACGGTTCTAAAACAGCTGCAGCCTCCTCCAAGAGGACCCAGAGAGATGCAGTTCTACAGTATGGTGAGCGTTACAGGAATGTTCTGAGTTCAAGACTGGTTAAGGTCTGACAACAGCATCTGTGACACGCTGTCCATCACCACGGTCACTGTGACACGTCCTTCAAAATCAAAAATAAACCATATTGCATCCGGATAACCCCAGATAATCGTCCTGTCAAATAGAAAAGTTATATTTCATCATACATGCATGGATACCAGAAGGGTATTGATTTCATAGAAGAAAATTCACCCACAGGAATTACATTAGTAAAGCATTTAGGACAATAACAACGTTTTAATAATCGCTCAAACTCTATGAGAACAGGGCTTAAAGGTGGGGTAAGCGATTTTTGATAGCCAATGTTGACATTTGAAATCACCAAAACAAACACGCCCCTACCCCAAAAGGGTCTCGCCCCTATTTTGATAGCTCTGCGCCACACATACGCACGCAACCCAGGCAACGATTAGTTCTGTGAAACAAAGCAAAACCAATGTTACACCGTGTCTACACCGGACACGAGTGGCGCGGCGCGACAAAATACTATAGAACTCATTATAATCAGTGATGCTGTCTACACTGAATGCGGTGCGGCACGACACGACAAATCCCCGACAGAAAACTGCTGCTGCGTTCTATTTATGACGTATTGACACAAATTTCAAATGATTTTCAACAGTCGCTTTGTCGCGTCCAGTGTACTAGACAGACTTTAGCTGTTGCGGCGCAGACACTGTGTTACTCACCTATCGAGAAGAAACAAAGCAACCTCGGCGTCCGATCGCAGGCCTTCCGCTCCTTGAGTTCTCTCCAGTGCTGGAAAGCTGATCCGATATTTACACGGGTCCTACTTCTTGCCTTATTGCCTTAAGCCTTCTTTTGTTCCGCAGACGGTTTCCTCTTTTGTTTTTTATCCGCCATCTCTATCTTTCTGTCGCTCGGCTCGGCTAATGTCTGTCCTGTGCACTGAACTCTCTCTCCTCCACATCAGGAGTAGACACGCCCCTTACTGCTGATTGGCTACAAGTTTGTTTTTTAGCAAATAGCAAAATAGATTTTTGCTATTTGGCCCAAATCAGTTTTCCAAAGCGTTTTAGAAAAATCACTTACCCCACCTTTAACACTTACTTTTTTTCTTAGGGAGCACGTGTGCATAAGTGCATTGAAAAACTTTACAGGCCCAATGAAAATGTATCAAAAAATTTGTTTTTCTTAATAAAAGGATACAAGACGTTTACAAGCAAAATTATTTATATATTTTTTAGAAAACAAAACGTACACTAGATTTTTAAATATTTCTTCTTCAAACTGTATTTAATACTTAATAATGTGCAACCAAAATACCAATATATATATATATATATATATAAAAAAATAAAAAAAACATTTCTCAAAATATCTTCTTTTATACTCCACAGAAGTCATACAGCTTTAGTACGACATGAGGGTGTGTAAATGATAACAGAATTTTCGTTTTAACTTGTTTAGAACCCAGAATTTTCCTTTCTGTGTGTTCGTTTGTCATCTGTTGTTCTTGGTGCTATTAGAAGACTGGAGCAGAGCAGAGCCATTAGCGTTTCTGACGAAGTTGAAGACTCTTAAACCCATTAACGTCTAGTAAGATCCGTGTTAGTCGTGTAATCAGCTCTATGATGGAGTTTGAAATGTTTTGTGATCTAATCGCTGAAACCACATAGTCACACACAAGTGAACGTGTAGTATTTGTAGTGCAAACACTAATGTCCTGGACAAAAGTGAAGGGCCACCTACTCACCTATCAATCAAACACTGCACTAAAACAAGGGTTTACCCGTTGGCTTTATTCTTTAAATAGGAAATTCTTGATTCTGTAATACTGCATTTTTACAAAAATAAAGAAATTGAAAATATAAACACATGAAAATAAAAATGAATAAAAAAAACAACAGTACACTCTTTAATCAAGTTTGTGTGCGCTGGGAATCATATATTCTTAAATAAAGACCAGGCAACACAAATATACCAATTTGTCTTACAATACCCACAGAAAACATCAAAGCGGGAAACCTGATATAGCGCAGCATAGTTTGATAATACCAGTGAATACAATGTGCTCTTCAGCTGGATTTGCCAAAGTTTGCAAGGTTTTTGGAATTAAATGTTTAATAGGTATTCAAAGACTCTTTTAAAATGAGATAAATATATATTTTCTGAATGCCGATGGTGTGTTAAAAATATTACAGCCTTTTTATAATTAGTTCCCTGCGCAGATTTTGCTTGTGTTCAAGTTGGTCATGAAAATGCACTGCATTGAGCAACAGAAAGCTGCTTGGTTTGATAGTGACTTCTGTGTGAGCTGTGCTTCCTGGATCAATGCACTTTTTTTTTTTTGTCTGCGAAATTTAGCCTAGTTTCGCAAATTTGGGTACATATTTACAGGCTTGTAAGTGATGTATGCATTCGAATCTGTTCCAATACTACCGAAATTTCACAGTGTGATCTTGTTGTTTATGTCAGGTGTATGCTGAAGACCACTGCGACCCCTGTCTTGTAGACCTCCAAGCGCAGCTTCCCAAGTACTACGGCACATGGTCCTCACAAGACGCTCCCACAGGTACACAGATGAGTGCATGGAGCCATGAGGAGATTGGTGGATTTACTGTACAGCATGAGTTTAGTCAGCATGTCTGCTCGCTCTCTTCCACAGACCTGTACCTCAAGCTGGAGGATGTGACACGCAGGTTTCAGAAGCCATGCATCATGGATGTGAAGATCGGCCAGAAGAGCTACGACCCTTTCGCTTCACAGGAGAAACGGGAACAGCAGATCAGGAAATACCCACTGATGGAGGAGATCGGCTTCTTGGTTTTGGGAATGAGGGTATGTTTTCTTCTTTAAAATCAATGCAGATTTTATTGATTATTTCTGAAGAGCTAATGTGATGCATTATATTTAAGTTTTGTCACCAGAATAGTATGCGCGTACTGTACGCGTGCCAACCGATTTTTGTAACCGGTCGCACATGCGCATTGACTTTTTCTCTTTTATCGATTAAGGCTGGAATACACTTGCCGACATTGTAAATATTTACAGAGGAAAACTGGGCATCACACACTAGAAGACTCTGAAGCTGTTAAACAACAAACGCAGAAACGTGTGCCTTGTTACTAGGAGAGACTAGGGTTGGGTATCGTTTGAATTTTATCGATTCCGGTTCCGGTTCCGATTCTGCTTATCGATTCCTAATTCCGATTCCAATAAGATAAAAAAAATCCATTAAACAAATTTTAAGTAAAATATTTAAATGTCAAACATATTTATTCTGTTTTATGTCTATGGTTGTATCAAAAAAATACCACAGAAAAAAACAACTAGACTAATATAAATTTCAAACATTAAATTGTTGAAGACAAGTAAACAAATTAATTAGCAATAGCATAAATACATAAAACTGAACAAATGTCAGGTACAGAAATTGAAATCAAAAGTTTAAAAACACTGTATAGTTACTTTTCATAAATAAAATATTGATTAATCCTCATTAAATTTACGAAAGATATTCAGTCAGTTGATTTTCACAATGATTTTCTTTTGTTCCTTGATTAACATTAATATTAGGCAGCACGTTTATTAGATGGCTGTCTCTTTAACACCAAACACACACAAATCTAAAAATACTGTTACACATGCGTTTTTTTTGTCATATGTTTACGTTCACTTAAGACAAAAAAACGGCTGTGTTTATGATGATATACTGACGTATTTCATGCATACTGGTCGATAAATGTGAAAGAGAAGTCAGTTCTGGCCCAGAACAACCTTTGTGGAAATGCACGGAACAGTTCGAGAACGGACACAGGTCGGGAACCTGCATCGGGACCACTGTTCTCTGTGCTCGCGCTTCAGATGTGTGCGCTGCACGCAAACAGTGTGCAAGTTCTTTCCCTTCCTGCACTTAAATAGTTTAAAATCACATTAAAATGCCAATGCGGGAATCGTTAAGCAGAATCGAAATGCACATGTCTTATCGAATACCCGATTATTGGAAATATGGAACCGGTTCTCGATACCCAACCCTAGGAGAGACATGAAAAATGAAAGCAATATGTGTTCTAAAATTAGCTTAAAATTTTGAGCAATTTTTTTATATATTCCGACTGAATGGAATCATAGTCTGAAGCTAAAAGAGTCTGTGACTATCATACACTGCATGATTTTCTATGAAATCTGCCAAATTAAATCTACAGACTGGCTCTGACTTTTGGCAATCAACTTGTACAGACTGTAAATCGGGCCAAAAATCTAGGCAAAAGTCATGTTGCATCCCTACTTTCTTTCATAACTAGTCATGCAGATATAAAAGGTTGGAAATGGCAAGGTCCAAAGTAGGTCTATTTTTGAATGCATTTGAAGTGATAGCTGCTGTCACATTCACATCGTGAAACTTGTGAATTATGCTGTGTAATGTGAAGCAGAACCACTAGGCTTTGTATGCAGCAGACAGACAGAGTCACAGACTCACCTAACTCGTTCAGAGGTGGTTGTTCCACTCTCTACCAGCTCTTTTGAATCATCACTACTTCCTGTATACAACCCAAACACTGCTGTCCTCAAACAGGTAGCCCTTGTCTTTTCGCAGATGCTCTTATCCGAAGAGAAAGAGGCATAGTACTTATTACTTATAATAAGTGCCTTCCACTCAACTCAAGGCACATATATTTAAAATATTTTTTGATCTTTCAATCCTGAATGTGGCTTTGCTCTTCCAAAGGTCCTGCCATTTCATCTAATGATGAGCTTCGGTATGGCTGGTGCCAGAGCCTTGTGTTTTAAGAGGTGTTTTAATTAACGGTCAGCAGCTTTAGAGCAGACAGAAGGGGGTAAAGCTCAGTGGTAGAGCCACAGTGCTGTGTGCACTAGAGTCTCAGATTTACCAAGCTCTGGACACAGCAGGCTGTAGCAGCACTGCCGTCAACAGTGCTGGAGTGAAGTGTTTGGATAGCTTGGGAGGGAAATTTGGTTCGTATAATCAAACGGAGCATGCAAGAACACTTGTGAAGAATCCTAGTTAAAAAAACTGGACCCAGCATTTACTGCAATAGTGGTTGAAGAAATCCTCTGTAAGCTGGTGAACTTTGATCATCTTAACCACTGTAGTTAAGCTATAGTAATGTTAAATGTTATAACTGACCACAAAATGGAATCCAGGCTTAAAAACCGTAATCACAAATTTAAGAAACATCTGAGATCTGCTGTTACTGCTCACATAAAAATGCATGTAGAATTTTAAACTTGCATGTAATGTCTAACATTAAATATTTTAGAAAAATGTATATTTTAGTCAGAATTGTTGCACAGTTATTCAGTTTATTGATTATTTACTCTTATCGATTAGTTGTTGCAGCCCTGCTTGCGTTCATACCTAGTCATGCCCATATAAGGGGTTATTTTTGGTGTGCGGAAATAGCAAGGTTCAACAAAGTTCTATTTTTGAATGTTAGATACTGTGTTAGATGCTGTCATATCCACATATGAGAATGTTCATTTACTGTATGCACACACAAACACACTACCGGTCAAAAGTTTGAAATAATTAATATGTTCAATGTCAATGATTTTTAATGAAAGAAGTATCTTATGCTAACAAAGGCTGCATTTATTTGATAAAAAATAGAGTAAAAACAGTAATATTGTAACATTTTATTACAATTTAAAAATAACCTTTTTCCATTTTAATATTTTTCTTTTTACATTTAATTTATAGTGGTTCAAAGGGTCACAAAACTCACGGTTCGGATCATAGTGAGAATTTTTTTTTTTACTTTGCTATCCATTTATTGCTTAAAGCACACTTAAAGTACTTCCATACCACAGCAAAAACTACTGGCCTTACAAAGTTCAAACAGTATTAAAGGCAAGTGAACAAATACACAAATTACAGGCATAGATAAATGCAACAGAACAGAGTTACAAAAGTAAGTAAGGTCAGTACAGTAAGGTCTAATGGTGTGTGCACAGCAAAAGTGAATTTAATAATTTGCATGAGTACATTACATACAAAGTCAATGCAACGTGAATAAATGCAAATTTGTGCCGGGCGAAGTGATTGACACAAATTTGGCAATGCGATTGCCACGAATGCGCGAAATTTGCCTCAGCCACATCTTCCGCGCAAGTTGAAAAATTTCAACTTAAGCGGGAAATTCACATGACGCACTGTCACACAAGCCAATCAGTGAAGAGCTTATTGACACCTCCGGTTGTATCGGATTATGGAAGAGAGTACGCGCGATTGTTTTTATTTGTGCGAGTAACACGAAAAACATCCCGCGAGTAATGCGATGTGAATATTCACTTCACTTTTGGTGTGCACCCACCATAACTTTAGTATTCAGGTACATTGATTAACATTAAGGACACAGACAGCAGCAGGTATTTATAGGCTGCTGTCACTTTAAGACTGAACGCATGATCCAATATCATGAAAGACATCTGATTTCTTTCTGTTTATGTTCACTTGAGACATAACCGACTTGTTTATGAGAATACTTGCAGAGACGGGTATTTTGACAATTTTGTTTGTAAGTGTCTTTTCAAGCGCAATGAGATGAGAAAGAAGAATCTTTTTTTTTTTTGTATGAAACTCACTTCTGTGTGTGTGCGCGCACAGAAAAAAGTGTGCAAGTACCGAATTGAGTTTTCTTTTGTGTGCTGAACCATGGGGCCTGGTCTGTACAGATCACGGATCAACTACGATCTGTTCAACCACTAGTAATTTATTCCTGTGATGAAAAGCTGTATTTTCAGCATTATTACTCCAGTCTTATGTGTCACATGATCCTTCATAAATCTTTCTAATATGCTGATTTGCTCAAGAAACATTTCTTATTATCAATGTTGAAACTTTGGAGCGGTAGTGTATGTGTATTAATGCTCTTGAAGATGTTATTGGTCAGTTATTTTATTAATGAGCATACAGAGTCATGCACATGTGCTTGTATCTGTATGTGTTTGGTATCCATGTTCTGTAAACCCTCCGTGTGGATCTGAACGAGGTCTCTGCACCAGCTGTCTTGTGTAACACATCTTGTTCATTTAGCTTACACTACCGATCTGACTTGTTTGTTTAGTCACGTTTTCTTGGCAGCACGTATATGTGAATAAATCTTGGAAATAAGACAAAATTCCAGAGCTATCTGTAATTTCTCAAAGCTTAACAGACTTTTGGGGATTGACGCAGATGATGACCGCTCTTCCCGTTTATTGTGTGTCATTAAATATAGTATGACAACAGCGATAGACTAATGATGTGAAAGGAGCAGCCATTCTAAGGGCCTGAAGGTCCAAAAGGGACCATAACAACTCCAAAAAGAATGAATCCCCAAATCATCTTCTATGTAGTGCAAGTAGTTTTAATAATTCCATCTGTGGTCTCCAAAGACATTCCATCCTCCTCTGCTGCACATTCTAAAATTGAACGGATGAGAGAAAAATACCTGTTCACTGTAAAAGAGAAAAAGCATGTAACCAAATCATATTAACCATAACAGAGAAGGAATGTTGCCACACAGGTCTGGAGAATATGTCCGGGTTTACCAGTTCTCTGGCAAAACTGACAAAACGGATAACCCTCGTTCAAAATTAGAAGAAAAACACCAGATTGCTAAAACAAAGTGGCTTTTAATAATTATGTACTAATTATTGTGTATGCTAATTATCATGTAATAATAGTCTATTTTAATATATTTTAAAATGTAATTTATTAGAAAGAGAGACGCTGTGACGTGAGGTCACCCCTGCAACTCGTTCAAACAACACACAGGGCAAGCCGAAATGTTGTGAAGTGTGGTTACATTTCTAGGGCCATATGGTTTCTGCGAAAATGCGGATGGGATCGCGGAGTCCATTCATAAAAACGTAATTTACTCCATAGCACGGAATGCCACGGATTTCATCAATTTTGGACGAATAAATCTAAAGTAGGTCTGCCACTTAATTCGAATTGCGATATGAACTAGTGTCTGTGAATATTAAAATGCAAAAAGACGGTTTAAATATGAATCCTGCATGTTCCACTTGCC